CAAATGGTGAAAACAAAGCTATACAGACAAAATCTCTCACCGAAGCATACACATACACACTCACAAAAAGAGGAAAAGGGGAAAAAATCATAAATCTTGCTCTCAAAGTCTACCTCCTCAATGTGGGATGATTCGTTGTCTATTCAGGTATTACACAGATGCAGGGTACATCAAGTTGATTGTGGAGCTTTAATCCGCTGCTTCTGAGGCTGCTGGGAGAGATTTCCCTTTCTCTTCTTTGTTCGCACAGGTCCGGGGGCTCAGCTTTGGATTTGGCCCCGCCTCTGCGTGTAGGTCGCTGGAGGGCGTCTGTTCTTCACTCAGACAGGACGGGGTTAAAGGAGCAGCTGCTTCGGGGGCTCTGGCTCACTAAGGCGGGTGGGAGGGAGGGGCACGGAGTGCGAGCCGGGCCTGCGTCGGCAGAGGCCGTCGTTATGTTGCACCAGCCTGAGGCGCGCCGTGCGTTCTCCCGGGGAAGTTGTGCCTGGATCCCGGGACCCTGGCAGTGGCGGGCTGCACAGGCTCCTCAGAAGTGGGGTGTGGAGAGTGACCTGTGCTCGCACACAGGCTTCTTGGTGGCGGCAGCAGCAGCCTTAGCGTCTCATGTCCATCACTGGGGTCTGCGTTTTTAGCCGCGGCACGCACCCCGTCTCTGGAGCTCCTTTAAGCAGCGCTCTTAGTACTCTCTCCTCAAGCAGCAGGAAACAAAGAGGGAAGAGAACGTCTCTTGCGTCTTCGGCAGGTCCAGACTTTTCCCTGGACTCCCTCCCGGCTAGCCGTGGTGCACTAACCCCCTGCAGGCTGTGTTTACGCCGCCAACCCCAGTCCTCTCCCTGCGCTCCGACCGAAGCCCGAGCCTCCTCGCCCAGCCCCCGCCCGCCCCGGCGGGTGAGCAGACAAGCCTCTCAGGTTGGTGAGTGCCGCTCGGCACTGATCCTCTGTGCGGGAATCTCTCCGCTTTGCCTTGCTCACCCTTGTTGCTGCACTCTCTTCCGCGGCTCTGAAGCTTTCCCCCTCCGCCACCCGTAGTCTCCGCCTGCGAAGGGGCTTCCTAGTGTGTGGAAACCTTTCCTCCTTTACAGCTCCCTCCCACTGGTGCAGGTCCCATCCCTATCCTTTTGTCTCTATTTATTCTTTTTTCTTTTGTCCTACCCAGGTACATGGGGACTTTCTTGCCTTTTCGGAGGTCTGAGGTCTTCTGCCAGTGTTCAGTAGGTGTTCTGTAGGAGTTATTGCACGTGTAGATGTATTTCTGGTGTATCTGTGGGGAGGAAGGTGATCTCCCTGTCTTACTCTTCTGCCATCTTCCCCTCGTCCCTCACATTGTTCTTCATTTCTCCAGTGTTGGTCTGTTGATCTCTAGAGAATGAGCTGAACTGGGGCAAGAGCGGAGTCAGGGAGACCAATTGGGAGGCTATTGCAGTAGTTCAGGCAGAAGATGCTGGAGGCCTGAACTGGGATGTTGGTGGTGGAGGTGGTGAGAAGTAGTCACATTGGGATCTATTTTGAAGATAGAGCCGATAGGATTGACTTAAGGGCTGGACGTGACATGTGAGAGGAGTCAAGGATGATTTCTGGGGCTTTGGCCTTCTACAGGAAAGAAAGGGGGGTCTAGTTTTGTTGTATGGGTGTGGTGGGGCAGGCAGAGATCAGGGATGAACGTATCCAAGTTTCTGTTGAGAGCTGTGAGCATTCAGATGCTTTTTCTTACATATATATCAATGCTGAACTGATGACATCTCTTAGGACATCTGTAGAGGTAGAGGACAGGTCCCAGGACAGAGTCCCAGGCACTGTAGCATTTAGAAGTAGGGAGAGAAAGATCTAGCAACAAAAACTGGAAGGAGCAGCCTGCGATCAGAACAGAAGCTCCTGGATGTGTCCTAGTTAGTACTCACACCTTATAGAATGAACCAAAATCGAACTCACAAAGACTAAGCCTGTCTTTTGGGGAGTCGGTTACTTGGTTTATTTAAGATAATAACCGTGTAATTGGTTTACCACTGATGTATTTGGAAATGGCGTGTCGTTCAAGAGTGAAGCCCTGGAGTCCGACAGACCTGAGTTCAAATTCCACTTACACCACTTACAGCTGGGGGCCTCCTACAATTTTCTGACATCTGGGCCTCTGTGTCCTCATTTATAAAATGGGGGGAACAGTAGGACCTACCTCAGAGTCCTGTTGTAAAGATTGAGTTGATGCATGGAAAGTGCATCATGAAAGTTGATGCTTGCAAAGTGCCTGTCTGTCATGGAGTCAGTGCTCAAAAATGGCAACTTTTACCTCAGTAACTGTTGTCAGGGTCTTTTGCTGGGAATGTTTTAATACTTTATGGAACACTGTATTTTCTACTTTGCATTTTTGGGTCTTCATTTGCTATTTATAATGGCTGTTTGGTATCTGTTGCTGGTTCTCAGCTTGTGTTAATGCCCCAGTTGCTTCAGCCTTGACACTTGCCCTGACCCCCGGGAGACAATAATGACATCACCCTGGAAGGGTTTGGAGAAATTCCTTCAGGGTGACTGAGCTGAGTGTTCTCTCTGGACTGTCATAGGAATATGGAGCTGTGTTGACTCTTTCCATCTAGGGAGAAAAGCTCCTGTCACTATTTGTTCCTGCTTAAAAGTCAAGAGGGATCAGAATTCATGCTTAAGATACTTATGAACATAAAAAGTTGAATAGTAAAATTGCTTTGCATTTGTTGAACATCTGCCATGTGTCAGATGCTTTTACTATTCAGTATCTGCTATCATTGCAAAAATCCCAAAAAGCAGATACTGGGATTTTTACTTTACAGAAGAGAACATTGAAATTCAAAGAGTCACACATCTTGCCCGAAGCTACACTGTTACCAAGTTTCAAAGTCAGGATTTGTATCCATGATCCTATCTGAGTTCCAAGCCTGTTTTATTCCTCACTACCTTCCACCTCTACATAAGCGTTAATTACAGATCTGAAGCCAAGATGATGGGAATTGGTATATAGCTCATTTTAAGCAGACCTTTCCTTCTAATGTATTTTATTTCCTTCTGAATTGCATAAAACAAGATTATTCCTTTTCAAACCAAAGAAGTCTTAGGTGATTTAGTTTTTCCCGTGGTGGCTATTTAAATGATCTTTTTCTACAGAACTTCACGAGTTTTGATGGGTGTGAAAAATGGAGGGAAAAGGTTGATGTTGCTTATCTTTATTTGGGTATTCGTGGCTAAACATTTTATTGCATTCCTTAAGATCAAAGGTCATCACTGTTGAGCATATATTTTTCTGGACCACACCAATAGGTTATAGTCATGAAGAATCTCAGCAGAGTATATTTACCAGTTGAGGGCAGTCCTTAATGCACCTTGAGTTTGTTTTCTTTTTCCCCTAGTCCCAGGCTGCATTGTTTCCTAGATGTGGTCTAGTTTACATTATTAATGATCTAAGCCATGGGCAATACTCACCTTCCTGAGGAAGCTGGTCTACCATTTAGAAATACATCTAAAATTCTGGCTTCATTTTCACCCCAAGTGTACACTGTAATAGCTGGTCCAATGGTCAGTTTTACTGTAGCCAAATTTACCTTTGTCTCCCTTTCTCCCCTTCGTTCCACTTGGATGTTTCTTCTGGGTTGGGAGATCAAGTCTTATTTGCCTGACTATCCTCAGCATCTAGTCTGTTGACCACATTGTAGGTGCTCAGTAAAAATTTTTTGAATTGAGAAGAATCTCACCTTTATGTCCTCTTCTTAACTTCTTACTTTGTTACTTCTTAACTCAGATTCAGTATGTCTTTATCCCATCTTGTATCTTGGGGCTTATCTCTCTCATAAGAAGTCCTTGAGATACTTCATTTGCAGAGGACCAATTTTAAGTCATTACACATGATAAAAATTATAGCATGATTTTAGAGCAAATAAAGTTCTCCAAGATAAGACACTGTAGCTCTGTCCACGTTCAATTTATTGAAGGTATCTCGGCAGGATCCATCCATCCATGTTGTTGACATTTGTATCATGCCACCAGCCCAGTCCATCCAGATGCATTCAAAGTATAGTGAAAACTATAATTCAGGGGGAATTTAACAGTCTGAAGAAGATCTTACTTTTAATGATATGAGTGTAGGGGATTGATTAATTTCCAAGGGGATTTGGGATTACAGCCATGGTCACAGTATTCCTGTTGCTTAATCCCATGTTAAAAAATTTAAAAAGAAGTTTCTTTATCATAAGCTATTAAAATAGAAAAAGAAAAGAAAATGAAATTGGAGCAGATTGGGCTGTCTGTGCCCCGACGTGGGCGCTGGATTCTCAGCTCCCTGCGCTGATTGATTTGTGATGCCTCATACAAGTGAATTTGGATTGCAGGGAAAAGCTTCTCACTCCTTTTTGCTCCCTTGAGCGAAATGCATGGAGTGCTCCAGGGAAATCTGGCAGGAGAGCAGGGGAAGGAATACGGCCTGAGTTTCCACAGGTTTGGAGGGAGACATGTCTGTAAGGAAAAGGGAACCCTGCCCTTTTCACTGCCCTACTTAAAGCCACAGTCTGCACTCTCCAGCGTGGCATATGAAGGCAGGCTTCATCTGGAAACCGTTTCCCCTTTACCTTCACTCCTGTCCACTCCATGCCGAAGGACTGACGCTCTGGGAACCATCAGCCGCTTGCAGTGCCCGCAGACTTGTGCACCTCTCTACCTTTGCTTATGCCCTTATCTCCATCAAACACTTTCTGCGCAGGTAAAATGTGCTGTCCCCCACCTCAACCCTGTGCATTGTGCATGCTGAGGTCACAGCCTCTGAAACACTTAATTCACCAATTTTTCTTCTTGTCTGTTATAGGACAAGCTCCTTGATGACAGACCCAGTGTCTGCCTCATCATTGGTCCCACTCTGCCCGGCCTGCTGTAGGTGCTTCACAGAGCATCCTCTGGTGGGAGGGAGTGGGGGATTCCTTCACCAGCTAGTCCCATATACACACGTAATGACAAACTGCGGCAGAGTTCACTCCCTTAGTGACAGGGAGTTGGGTGGCTTTGGGGTTGAGCTAAGAGCCAAAGGATTAGTAGAATTTAGTTGGGTAAAGAAAAAGGACACGAGGGAAGAGGCTCCCAGATAATGGCATGTGAGCAGTGTAGTTGGAGCACAGAGGGGAAGAGCCAAGGTGGAGATTAGCTTAGGAGAAGTAGGCAGAGGCAATAAGTGTGTATAACGAATAATTTCTAAGTGAAGTCATTAGTTTTGAGCTTTGTAACTAGACAGGCAGCACTGAAAGCCAGATCCTGTTCAGGCAGTCCTAGACTTTGAGGTAGGTGATGGCATATGCAGAGCGCTCCAAAGCATTTGTTCAGCTAAACCAAGTGTTGATCCCTTCCAGCTGGATTTGAGTGAGCGCCATAAGTGAGCTGAGGAGCCCCAGCCCTGAGTGGCTGGTGAGGACAAGGAAGGAAGCAGACCTTTTAACCAAAAGAACGCCCTGAAATTCAAGTCCGGTGGAAATTGTCTTGGTTGTTGAGACTGTCTCTTAACTTTTTTTTTATTATAGTGTTTGTAATATTTAAATAATTTTGGCTGCATTGATCCCTTTTACGCAAGGGAACTTTCAGCCTCTTAGGGCTGATAGATTGTTCATCAGTGATTTGCACAAAGAAGCAAGAGAAAACTCTTGTTTTCATCCCAGTCTTTGATTGTCAGAGCTGGCTGTTTGGGGTTCCAGACAGTGGCTGCTAATGCAGCTTCCACTGACCGTATGTCAGGAAGTTGATCTTTGTCGAAGAATCCTTTTCTCTCCAGAGTATCTGGAAAAAGAATTGTAAAGCTGGAGATAGCCATTCAATGAACTAGAAAACTTCCAGCCCCCTCTGGCATTGCTAAAATGACACAGACCCGTTGTCTGTCGTTTATTTAGAATTCCAACTATGGAGGAAATGAACCTGGGCCTCCATCTTTCTTTTTTATCGTACAGACAATACTTTTGCCAATACACCTAAATCCCCAAAGTGATGAGAAAGTAAGAAATTACCTCAAAGAGCCGTAAATTCTAACCTTGGGTTCTTTTCACCTTGGACTTTGCTTTAGGGTTTATTAGATGGAGATGGAGCCAGTCTTCCTTGTTTAAATCAAGATATTTCCTGCCCTTCCTAGCTCTTCAGGCTGCTGCTGAGATGCTTCCAGTATAAATTCTCTTCTGCAGCCTGACCACATCGTGATTCTTCCCTCTCCCAGGGGCATCTTCATACCCAGGGATTGACTTTGTTTTAGTCGATACAGAGGGTACTGCTGGGCATAACTGGTTTCTTCCACGGTCAGACATCCATGAACACCTGGAGCTACAAAGCTGTGGATCCCGTTCTCTCTCTCTTTCTCTGTCGGTCTCTGTCTCTGTCTGTCTCTCTCTCTCTCAAATATTTATTGATCTCGTCTCTTTGGTGCAGCTCCTGCAGAGGAGTCTCTGGAGTTTGGCAGGCTCGCTGGGTCGTGTTCCGTTCAGTTTCCCAAGCACTAGATACAGTGTTCACCACGGTCAGTGGCATTGTGACCCAAATTTATTATCAGGGGCTCAAATACACCGAGCCTAAAGATTTATGCAGAATCCAGAGTACAGTCACTCCCTCTTGAGAGTTCAGACCTTCCTGGTAATGAGGGCCCTCTGAGGCATCAGGAAGTTAATAAGATCTCTTACACACATTCAAATTAAGGCTTTGCAAAACCACCCTGTTGTTTCACTGTGGGGAACCAGAGCTGTTGCCACTTGTGCTATAAGAACTTGGTTCTTTCATTGGAATTAAAGGAATTTGCCCTTCAGCAGCTGTCAAAGGATGAGTATCTAACTGTTGGGTTTGTTGTTTGGAAAGCAGTGTAGTGCCAGGAAGGCCTGCCTGATAGAGTTCAGGAGACTACAGTCCCTTCTAACCCCTGTTTACTCATGCCCAGATTTAGTGTTTGCCAGCCCCTGAGAGCCCCTGTACCGTCCCCCCAGGCTCTTCCTGTTCTGGCTACTATAGCTTTCTTCAGACATGCCCTCCTCTCTCTCTCTGACCATAGGGCCTGGGTCTGTTACCTCTACCAGAATACTCCTTCATCGAATGAACGAACCCCTATCCATTCTTTAGAACAGTGAGTGCTTCTTAGAGGGGAATCACCTGAGAAGCTTGTTAAATAAAATGCAGATTCTCCTTCAGTAGCTCTTGGAAGGGTCTGGGATCTGGCTTTTCTGACAAGCTCCTGGGTGAAGCTGGTGCAACTGGTCCTCTGGGACTCCTTCTTCCTTCTGCAGTTTAGTCAAGTCTTCTATTTTACATGCCTCTGACGTTGTAAGCCTTTCCTTCATAGAGAACTCTTGACTACTGTATCGTTTCTCTAAATGCATGCCATTGTCTGATGAATGTTTTTCTACTAAAGTATGAGCCCTACAAGAGTGCAGAGTGCAGGGACCACCTGTGGTTTTTGCTCACCCCTTTGTTCCCAGCACCTATCACAATATGGCGTACAGGGTGCATTGTGTCCTTAGGATGCGCAGATAAATAGTTGACTGTGTGCTGGCTTTTGACAGAATGGTTAAATTTATTGGTCTGAGATGCATGAGATTATAAAACCCAGGAGTTTGAGCCAAGTTGTAAAAACTCAGTCATGGTCTTCATTATTTTCAAGGAAAAGACCTCCTTGAATATTTAAATTTCATGTCAAGCAGAAAGAGCCTAAGGTGATTTCAGACTGAGGTGGATAGTAAATGGTCCTTAGTATTCATTCTGTGAAAGGGGTTGTGCCAGACCAGCTGGACTCTTGTGGTTCCAAAGTACTATATTCTTTATTTTTTTAACATTCTTTTTTATTGAGGTAAAATTCATATAATATAAATATAACCATTTTAAAACATAGAATTCAGTGGCATTTAGTACATTGACCGTGCTATATAACCATCAACTTTATTTCCAAAGCATTTTCATCACCCCCGAAGGAATACCCCACCCAAGGTATTATCTTCTTAGCTCAACATTTCTAAAATTTTGTGGTCTCAGCACCCCTTTACACTCGTAAAAATTACTAAGGGCTCCAGCAGCCTTAGTTTTATATGGATTAAATCTATCTGTATTTACAGTATTTGAAATTAAAACTGAAAAAAAAAATTAAAGATTTATTTATAAATTCATTAAATGACATCTTACATTTTTGTAAATCTCGTTAACGTCTGACTTAGTAGAAGTTAACTAGATGATAATATCTTCTTTATCCAACCTATTGCTGTACATTTTGTCGTTAAAGGATTTGGGAAAAAAAATCCCACCACACACACATATACGTACTTTGAAAAGGAAGACATATTTTTAAAAACCTTTTCGGGTGATACTGGATATTGTTTTTTGTTACTACACCAAAACTCAGCAAGTGGTAATTAAAGGTTTGTTGAAGTGTGGAAAATGAAATCATGTCAGTGAGCTTTTTACTCACAATTGCACTAAAACCTAGTGGCCTGCCTTGGCGCTTTGAATAGTTCTTTTACCCATGCATTTTTTTTTAAAAAACATCTTTATTGGAGTACAATTACCCCACAATGGTGTGCCAGCCTCCGCCCCACAACAAAGTGAATGCGCCACACATACACATATGTTCCGATATCTCCCCCCACCCATCTCTGCGTCTACCTTCCTCCCACCCTCCCCATCCCACCCCCCTAGGCAGTCACAAAGCACCAAGCTGATCTCCCTGTGCTATGCGTCTGCTTCCCACTAGCTATCTATTTTACATTTGGTAGTGTATATATGTCCATGCCACTCTCTCATTTTGTCACAGCTTACCCTTCCCCCTATCCATATCCTCAAGTCCATTCTCTAGTAGGTCATTCCTGTCTTACCCCTAGGTTCTTCATGACATTTTCTTTTTCTTAGATTCCATATATATGTGTTAGCATATGGTATTGTCTGTCTCTTTCTGACTTACTTCACTCTGACAGACTCTAAGTCCATCCACCTCACCACAAATAACTCAATTTCGTTTCTTTTTATGGCTGAGTAATATTCCATTGTATATATGTGCCACATCTTCCTTATCCATTCATCCGATGATGGGCAGTTAGGTTGTTTCCATCTCTGGGCTATTGTAAATAGAGCTGCAATGAACATTTTGGTACATGACTCTTTTTGAATTTTGGTTTTCTCAGGGTATATGCCCAGTAGTGGGATTGCTGGGTCATATGGTAGTTCTTTTTGTAGTTTTTTAAGGAACCTCCATACTGTTCTCCATAGTGGCTGTACCAATTCACATTCCCACCAGCAGTGCAAGAGTGTTCCCTTTTCTCCACACCCTCTCCGGCATTTATTGTTTCTAGATTTTTTGATGATGGCCATTCTGACCGGTATGAGATGGTATCTCATTGTATTTTTGATTTGCATTTCTCTGATGATGAATGATGTTGAGCATTCTTGCATGTGTGTGTTGGCAATCTGTATATCTTCTTTGGAGAAATGTCTATTTAGGTCTTCTGGCCATTTTTGGATTGGGTTGTTTCTTTTTTTGTTATTGAGCTGCATGAGCTGCTTGTAAATTTTGGAGATTAATCCTTTGTCATTTGCTTCATTTGGAAATATTTTCGCCCAATCTGAGGGTTGTCTTTTGGTCTTGTTTATGGTTTCCTCCGCTGCACAAAAGCTTTTAAGTTTCATTAGGTCCCATTTGTTTATATTTCTTTTTATTTCCATTTCTCTAGGAGGTGGGTCAAAAAGGATCTTGCTGTGATTTATGTCATAGAGTGTTCTTCCTATGTTTTCCTCTAAGAATTTGATAGTGTCTGGCCTTACATTTAGGTCTTTAATCCATTTTGAGCTTATTTTTGTGTATGGTGTTAGGGAGTGATCTAATCTCATACTTTTACATGTACCTGTCCAGTTTCCCCAGCACCACTTATTGAAGAGGCTATCCTTTCTCCACTGTACATTCCTGCCTCCTTTATCAAAGAAAATGTGACCATATGTGCATGGGTTTATCTCCGGGCTTTCTATCTTGTTCCATTGATCTATATTTCTGTTTTTGTGCCAGTACAATACTGTCTTGATTACTGTAGCTTTGTAGTATAGTCAGAAGTCAGGGAGCCTGATTCTCCAGCTCCATTTTTCGTTCTAAAGATTGCTTTGGCTATTCGGGACCTTTTGTTTTTCCATACAAATTGTGAAATGTTTTGTTCTAGTTCTGTGAAAAATGCCAGTGGTAGTTTGATAGGGATTGCATTGAATCTGTAGATTGCTTTGGGTAGTAGAGTCATTTTCATAATGTTGATTCTTCCAATCCAAGAACATGGTATATCTCTCCATCTATTTGTATCATCCTTAATTTCTTTCATCAGTGTCTTATAATTTTCTGCATACCAGTCTTTGTCTCCTTAGGTAGGTTTATTCCTAGATATTTTATTCTTTTTGTTGCAACGGTAAATGGGAGTGTTTTCTTGATTTCACTTTCAGATTTTTCGTCATTAGTGTATAGGAATGCCAGAGATTTCTGTGCATTAATTTTGTATCCTGCTACTTTACCAAATTCATTGATTAGCTCTAGTAGTTTTCTGGTA